AAGCACCTGATGAACTGTTGCACACTACTGAATTCAGGCAGAATTTACTGTAGCACATCAGGAAATGTTTGAAGCCAGTATTTGGACTTCAGCTATGAGTGATCAAACATCTTAGCTCATAAGTTAAAATGACCAAACTCTGCAATGGCGCTGTCAGCTTAAAGAGGCATTTTAAAGACTGCATTTAATAAGAGGCTATTACACTGTCTGGTTTTTTACTGCAAGTTGTGTCACATCCACTTTCCAGTAAGCAAGAGGTGTAAGCCTTATAATCGGGCACAGGCCAAATAAGCCTGTACATTGAGTGTCATGTTCAATATGTGCACCAGATGCAAACATCAGTCTAAAGGGTAATGAGGCTGAGATGGAAACTTTGTATACCACAACACCGTAATAGCAGAAACACATGTAAATTATAGTGACTTGCACACACATCTTCATGCTGACAAACATGCAAACACATGCAATTACTCTGCATCCTACTTATACACATATAACCTTTCATTAAACACGCATACAATGATTTGTAGTAATTTAATAGCGTCAGGTTGCTCGTAACAGATATTTTGCAGAATAATCATGCTTTATGCTGTTAACACACCCACTGTGCTCACTTCACAGCAAACCTGCCTTACACCACCTCGCATCGAGATACGCATTCTTCACAAAACTTGCAGCCAGCCTCACTTTGGCATGCCTTCCCACTAATAGATCACTTTACAGGTACACCACATGGTGCTGTGCAAAAACATGTCTTCCAGGTGTGGTACATTAACTCTAAATTAATTCTATGTGTCTACACTTGACATTACACAATTACCACCTTGTTGTTTTGCCCTTGTTTAGTAGAAAAACATAAAACATGCATGAGTGGAACGCAAAACTGAGATCATTCTAATAAGATGCATCGTTCCTGTCAAACCTTACTGTAAGTAATGGACGGTAACAGCAATAATATTGCTTATTGTTTCCAATAATACCTGTAATTGTAACGTTATAGTGATGTAAGAGTCTTTTTTAGGCTTTAGGCTGATTTTAGCAGTAAATTTAACACCACTAATGATGCTGGCAATACGGCTGCAGTTCTCCTATATATAACCCTGGAACCACCTGGCCTAACAGAGGCTGTTTGATACCACCACCACCTGGGGCAAAGCCAGGTCCACTTTGGTCTTAAACTTATTTTGGGATGGGAAAAAAGTAGCCTGTATGTGGATCTAATGCTCTTGAATGACTCATGGGGAATAAATGCATTTGTTTTAACAGTAGCTGTGGGCCAATTCAGCTGTAGTTAAGAAATCAATAGCTTCTTAAAATAAACACAGAAAATGACAGTTAAATTTGAGTCAAATCTTGTTGTGGAGTTGATACATAGTGAACAAGCCAAATATATAAAAGCACTGCCTTAACATAAGCACCATGACCAGCCAAGACAAGAGATTAAAGTAGAACTGATGGTTTTTCTTGATAATTAAAGACGGAGGTTGAAAGAATGCACATCATGTTTTAATTGTCTGATTTAATCCAAATATCTAGCAGCTGATGATTTGATGATATTTTATCAAGAGTGTTTAACAAAGCTACTATCTGGCCAGCAAAATCAGCAAACCAGCAAAATGGAAAGACTGCATTCCCAGAAAGCCCTACAAAGTGCTGCATGTCGAACTGGCATTTCTGATTGTGACAGATAATAGTGTTTCATCAGCTGAACCAATTAAGTGCTGTGACCTGTGTGCCAGTGTCTTGAAGCAGTTAATAAGAAATGCGTGGTCCACTTAGTGAGACAAAATGTAAAATTAATGGAACTGATCTTTCACCTGTTATCTGCTAAAAGAAGATCAATGGTTAGTTTAATGGCAGAACACACTAGAGTAGACATGGTTGAAACATGAAAGGGAGAGGGGGGAAAAGCATATGTGGCTGTCTTCAGATAACTGAAGTGGATGCCTAGCTGTCAGCTCAAGGGTCGATTAGAGCGAGCTACAACATGCAGTTTCACCTGCGAAAGAGAAACAAGATCCAGTGTGGAAAGTTGTGTGCAGCCAAAGTAATCAGTAATCCTCATCGGATTAAACTTTTAAACTTTTGCAGCTATCTATCCAAATGGACTCAGCTAAAAAACAAATAATAATAGATAAACAAACAAAGAAAAAGATATTTAAAAACAAAAACAGATTTACTGAACAACCACAGGAGGTCACTGTTTTATATTAATTATGAAGTGAGCACAGACACTAATGTGAAGCCTTAAAGCTGTTGATGCAAAAAATATTTTTTAAAGTTTTATCATGTCCTTTTTTCAAATATTTTAAACTGTATTTACACATTGTCTATGCTGAGTACTTGAGGCAAACTAATGCACATATGTCTTTTTTAATTCTTAAATTCTTGACAATATTTTTAGAAAAGGCATTAAACAGTTTCTTTTGATATATCTGCACTCACTAATGTGAAGCTGAAGAATTTTATATGTTAATTTATGTATTAAATGAAAACCACTAGCGACAGTGAATTGTTCCCGTGCCCGTGTGATCTTATGAATTCTTTTCTTTTATACTAATGCATGAAAAAGTAAAGAGCCATATAAAAAAAACTTCAGGGAAAACTCAACCAGTTTGAACTCAAAATGGGTGGCTATCAGCAGCCATTAAAAACAAGAGCACAGCAAGAGGGCACTTCACAATAAGAGCTCCTTTTGAATCAAGTGAGCAATAACAAGATGTGATTTCCTACCTGAAACACTTTCTCACTTATGATTCTCCTAACATATTATTTGCACGTGGCAGTGTGCCTATGCACATGTGCTTTTGTGCATACACCGTGCAGTGCCCCAAGCACTAACACACACAAGCATTCCAGCGACTGGAAGAGACCCCCCCCCCAAGATACACACGCAAACACACACATACCCACACACATACCAGTAGACCCACCATTAAGGTCACCCAAAGGGCGCACGATGGAAAACTGAGTAGTTTTATGACCAGAGGGCAACAGAAGGGAACTTTGTAGTGGGAGCGAAAACAAAAGACGAGCTGGCACTGGTGACTTTCTTAAAGTTGAAATGGCAGTAGGTTTTAACATTTTAAGCCCAGAAGTGCTAGTTGTGTTGTGAAATATAAAATAAAATAATAACAGCTAATTAAAAAAACAAACAAAAAAAAAAAACTCAAGTCACTCTTTAATGTGTTTTCGTTTAATATCCCCCCTCTGGGTTACCACAGCAGTCTACAATGTTCACAGTGCAAAATAAACTGTTCAGCCTCCTAGGAACATGCTGAGGTGTTGTAATGTTAGCTGTGATGTTAGCTAGTGTAGCTGCTAATGACTGGGAAGGTGAGAGCACGAGGAAAGTGGGTGGTGTGAACTTTCAGCTAACTGCCAAAGTGTTACAGCCAGTGGGAGCAAAAGGGGGAATCTTGGCAGTAAATAAGCAACTGCAACTAATATTCTACTGAAAACAGTAACTGAATGAATCTCAGATAGGGCAGAAATGTGTTAACCAGAAGCAGCAGGTGAAAATATCTTTGTTGGCTGTTTGTTGTTTTATGCAGTCAAGAAACACTAAATAAAGTTTGTCCTTGCTTTTTAAAGTCAACCTGTTTGACACACTGGCGACATTTTGTAGACTCCAGCATAACCCCCAAATACTTCTGGTCTGCTCTGCCAATGAGAAGCATGCACTCACGTGAAAGTTTTTATAGTGTGGTAAAGAAGAACTACAAAAATGAAGACATAAACAAAATAATTCCAGGCTTTACTTTTTGTCTATTTGCACAAGTATGTGTTTTTTGGCCCTTGCCCCTGCAGCAGCACTCTCCCCTTTCTTAAGATATTTTTGACACTTTTCTTCAGAGTTTGGTCCTGTGCTCCTACTTGGCATCCCTGTCCCTCACATCATGTGCGTTATAATTCTCTTTGGCTCACCTCTGAACTTCTGAAGTGTTGTTTTCCTTCTTCTTCTTCTTCTTCTTCTTCTTCTTCTTATTCCCTGTACGTCCCTGACAGTTTCCCTCTCTAGTCTCAGCCAAGGTGCAAGCCATCCCCGTGCCAGGAAATGTGTTTGCTAGTTCATTGCAGCATGGGGTATATTTACTAGCAGGCAGCTTGGGAGCTGCTATAAAGATATTGCACATTCATTTGTTTGCATTGTGACTAACTTTTGGCTGGCTTCACACTCAGCTCCTACTCCCCCAATTCTTATAGGCCTAATTAGTGGGGGAAGCTCCATTTAGATTAAATATTTGCCCTCTCTGTGGAAATTTCAAAAATAAACCACTTTATTCATAATACACTCATCAAGTCAACACTATTGTGTGAGTGGAATGTAATGTATGTCCATACTTTAATCTTTACAAGGCCATCAGGGAAATGCAGATTTCAAGCTTTGATGTAGAATATTTGAATGATTTTCTGCACAACTTTATTAGGTACACCTGTTAAACTGCTCTTTATCACAAATATTTAATCAACCAATTACATGGCAGCACTTATGTAGACATGGTCAAACCGAACATTAGAATAGATAAGAAGAAGTTGACTTGTTGGTCTGACTATTTCAAATCTACTGGATTTTGATTTCAGATAGTATGGTCAGACTTAAACAACATAAAAACATTGATCCATCCCGGTTATGTCAGTTCAGGCTGTAGTGGTGTAGGAGATATTCTCTTGGCATCCTATCATGTCAATATGAACCAAAATTGCTAAGTAAGGTTTCCAGTGCTTTGTTTATTCTAAGAATTAGGCATTTCTGAAAAACTGAGAAGAGGAGAATTTAAAAAAAACTATATCATCAGCTAATTATTGTAGTAAATGACTTCAGCTTCGCCCAAAATTTTGATTTCTTGTTTCTCAAGGATTTCTGACAAGATTAACCAACCTTTCACATGTTACTAGCACGTCCTTCCTATCCCAGATAACATGCGTTCAGAAATATATTTGAGCCAAAGAACGAAAACACCCATGAACATAATAAGTCAAGCTGTCTGCAGACATACTGTGTTTTTTAAAGGTTTATTCTGAAAGAAAGATGCTTCTCAAGATGATAATCAGTCATTCTTAGAAAGTATCTAAATACAGGCAACTGAGGTATTTCTGTCTTTCTACAAGTGGACTGAAAGTGAGAGAAAGAAAACCGAGTGACCAATATAGACACAAAAACAGCTAGCACAAATAGCATTGTGAATATCTGTCTATATATAGATGTATATAGATATAGATATATATAGATATATCTATATAGATATCGATACATATATCTCCCGCTCGCCCCTGCAGGCAGTTTAGCTTTCAAGCTGTAGTGCTCTACCAAAGGCCTGGGAGCTTGAATATATATATATATATATAGTTTGGACATGTAAGGTGTATACAGTCTGTGGTCTACATGATCATGGACATCATTCATTGCACTAATTTCTAGCTTTTTCAACTTACATTTTATCATTAAAAAATAAAACCACATGAAATGGTTAATTAAATTCTACTGATTCAATACAATCACCTGTATTCAAAAAATGGATGCACTTGTGATTTTTTTTAATGTTTCTGAAACTATATAAGAAGCTTAATCTTTTTGCTTTGTGCTTATAATCACCTTAAAACAAAAACAGAAAACATTGGCTATATGGCACACTTTGTAAGATTAAGCCAAGATAAAAATGGGAAATCACTATGCTTCTTCTCAATAGTTAAACATTTTATGAACACACTTATTCAATGTCTTATCAAAAGTTTGGAAGATTAATAATACGCTCACATGAGTTTATTAAAAATCAGATTCTTTTTTGACTTTGGCTTTTCGTACTGATAAAAACATGAAACGCAATGTGGCAATTACTGAAATCAAGCCGGGGTTATTATATAAACTGGACAGACCACGGACAGCTTTTTGCACTCGTTATGCTAAGTTAAGTCATATGGCAGCTGGCTAAAACACTGAGACGTGAGAGTGGTGTTGATTTTCTCATCCAATTCTTAACGAGAAAGCAAATGAGCATGAGAAAAAGCCGAGCTACTTGTTTAATAATACATTTTCTTATCCTTTGTTCTCCCACAAATGCACATACACACTCACACAGAGTAGCACAACTGTAAGGCATACCAATCTGCTTGACAAACAGCAGGCAGTTATAACAAATGACGTACAAAGACTGGAAAAGACACAGAGACATTCATTCACACGGAAACACTCAGGAGTCTCGAAGAACGAAAAGGGTTTGGTGTCTGTCGATTGTCGTCTTTAGGACTTATGACCAGGTGTCATCTTAAAGGCAAAAACTTCATTTTGGTTTATAATCCACGTTCTGCTAATGAAGAGCAGCCACCTGCCAACTGTGGTAAAGATGTTAGCATTGATTATAGAACAGCACTGTGTAATATGCGATCGCGATTAAATACTCGCTGCTCTATATAATAAAATGACTTTTGATTTTCTATAATAATTTATCTAATCTAGTTTTATGGATGACCAAAGATTACACTATGAGTACACTGAAGAGTGGATCAGCATGTTGATGAAGGCTGAAACCAGCTGAGGTTTTATGAGAGTACAGCTCAGTCCCACATACAATAGAGTGGTTCAGCCCTGTTACATGTATATGAGTGTGAGTGGGTGTCTGGTGTATTCATATGCCAGTGGGCTGAGCACATTTGTCTGTCTGCTGCTCTTCTGCCAAATACTTTTGCAGAATTTAGACTGAAACACACTCACATGTGCACTCACAAATACACATTGGACTCATAAATGAGAAGCAAAACAAGAAAAATTGAGAGAAAAATAAAAACAAAAACACAAAAGTGATTGTATCCAGTGAGTAGGAGAATAATTGGGCTGAATGAATGAACTACAGTGTCAGAGGTGGAGAGACAGTGCTCAGTCCATCCATCTACGAGGGTACAGTGTGCTGCCGTCCTTGGATGAAGTCCATACTGCAGTGTCAGTCCACCAGCCATGGTCCATCCAGTCAAGAGCTAAGGGAAGCTTCCATTTTAATGCAGCCCCCGGTGAGTTCTTCAAAAATCAGAGGGTAGAGGTACTGTAGGGGAATGGGGAGGACCCATCCCAGAGGTATGTGAATCACCACACACGGCAGATGTTGTCAGGAACCATGTAGCTGCTTTTGTTGCAGTTGAATGCTTTGGCAAATTCTGGGAAATTCTGAAGGGAGCCTAGTACCCTGTGAACATAGAGAGGAGATTGATGGTTGGAGCTGAAGTTGTTATATTAGACGGGGACTTGAAAGTGAAATTAACATGACATATCATTTTGTCTAGGTTTTAAAATGTTAGCTACCATTGTAATTTGTTTTCTGCCCTTTGCCGGCAGCACATAGCTGATTGATGTAGAGAAAATACTCTTGGTTTGAGTTTACCTGAATTTCCCTGGACTGTGTACGTCAACTTTAATGGAATTAACAGCTTGCTCTGGCCGATGTGTTCCACACCACACCTGTAAAAAGACAGTGATTAGGATGCACTGAATTGCACCAAGAAATCTGCACATCTATCCATTGCTTAACCCAGTCATCCATCAATCCATCCATCATTCAATCAATCCACCAATTCATCCATCCATCCATCACGAAGCATGCACATTTTGCAGGATATTTTTCTAATGTTGCCTACAGTCCTAGGAAAGATCAGAACTACAATGCATGTGTAAAAAATGGCTTATTATTCAACAAACAACTGCTGCATCAGACAGTAAGGCTATTACCTGAGCAAAGTTTAGGAAGAAGAGTTGATCATGGGAAAGGTCAATTCCAGGCAGAGGTGGTTCCTCTCCATGCTGCTTTATGTAGTTCTTGTAGGCCTAAATCAGTGACACAATCTTACCCAGCAGTCATGTTGAATACATCCAAAAATCACACTGATTATGAAATCATAACTTATGTCACCATGTTTGCAGACAGAAAAATAAATGCATATGGATCCATCCTGTCTCCCTGAGATCTACGTATTAATTAGAAAAATAATCTAGACTTTGCGCTGAAAGAGAAAGAAAAAAAAGTGTACCGTGTATGTACTTTGTTAGACATGTATAATTTATGTGAAAATACTATACCTGCTCTTTCATGTTGCATTCAAGTCTTTGAATGTCTTTTCTGTGCTTTGCCAAGCTAAAACTGATACATCCAGCAGCGACATTATGTCCTTTATTGCTGTGTTTACAATAGCTAATGAGCCAGCCTGTGACCTAACAAAATAACTAGTCTATTAATGTTAGAAAGCAGATGACAATAGCAAGCTGCAGACTGAATCACCTCCTCTCTTATCTGTAAACTGGGCCTCTTAAAAGGACTTTCTCTCTCTCTCTTTTTTTTTCCAGGCTCATTACCTGATACGCCTGTCGTATCCCTCCATTGTCAGCAATGTTTTCTCCGAGGGTGTTGTTACCATTTAACTGGAGAGGCGATATAGGGACATAGAACACAAAGATTGACAGGGGAAAAGGACAGAAGGAGGCTGTAATTTTTCCTCTGTATTTCAGCAAATCGTACATATAACTTTTGGGATATAGGAAATCATTTTACAAGGGATAAAAGAAGCATTGTTCAAAAGAAAAGGACACAGAAGGTGAGACAAAGAGAAGGAGAGGAAGAGCCATTGATATGTCAACACAAAATATTAAAGGCACCTGGAGCAGAGAAGGTATGAGGCAGCAAAATGTGTGGAAAGACAGAAAAATGACCAACAGATAAGCTGGCAAAGGTAACAGGAAAGCAAATAAATGAGATAAAGTAAAGTTCATGATAATATTGGGGGAAAATATGGGAGGAAATTTGATAAGAGAAAGAAGAAGGATGGATGTAGTTCAGATGAACGTACATGTAGTCCACTAGCGAGATCCCAAGAGAAGTTTCCGTACTGATCAACAATGCACTTCGACAGTTCGAGGAACCTCTGTGTTGAGTCTGGTGTCCACCAGTCCTTCAGGTCGCCATCCTTATCATAGTTACGGCCTAAAGAATGAATGGGACGTGGACAGGTTGAACTTGATGAACAAGAAAACAAGAATATCAACAGCACTCAAATGCTATATAACATATAGCAACTAACATATATTCTATGTTAGTTGCATATTTCATTTACATTTGTGTGTTTGTGAACAGTAGATGTCAGTATAAATAAATCCTCTCATCTCTGAAGCAGAACCAAGTTGGAAAAAAAGTTCTGAGATCCTAAATGGTGTTACAAAACATGTTTTTCTGGTACCAGTTACAAGGGGAAATCTATTACATATATATATAATTTATTTTTCCAAAGATCAATGCAGTCTGCCAGAACTGCCCCAGGGAGGAACAAAGAGTAACAATGCGGAAACTCATACCATTGTCATCAAAGCCATGTGTGATCTCATGACCGATTACCATGCCGATGCCGCCATAGTTGAGAGACTTAGCCTGGCCTTTGCTGAAAAAAGGAGGCTGAAGGATTCCAGCAGGAAACACTGACACCAAGAAAAGTAAAATAAATAAATCAGCAAATACATAAAATATGTATTGTTTTAGTCTTTTGCAGTTTAATCTTTGCATATATGTGAAATACCTATTTGATTTTTGCTGGATGAGTAGAAGGCATTGACAACAGCAGCTCCAGTTACCCACCTGGAGAAAGATGTTGGAATTAACCTACAGTGAAGAGCACTACTGCTACAGTAAAGAGCACTAGACTACTGTGAAATGCATGTTTGATGAAATATATCAAAATTAACCTGCAGTTATTAATAGCTGGGCTAATGTTAGCCTCCCAGCCGAGGAAAGCTGAACTCTATACGTGGGTAGGAGTATGTGTGGGAGAATGATCAGTGCACTGTGCTAAATGTGAGATACTGGGGTACACCAAAAGTGGCAAAAAAAGAAAAAAACTGATTTATTACTGCTAATTTAAATGCTAATAATTGCAGCTTAATATACATCTGGAATAAGGCAGTTTATTCTACCCCTCAATGGAAAGCTTACTCTTCTTTGTTGACTTTTACTCTGAGTTTCCGCAGGCGTTTCTTCTGCACATACTCCAGGTTCTGTAGGATGTTTTCAAAGTACTCCTCTGCACTGTAGCTCAGCTAACACCAACACACAGAAAAACAGGAGGATTAGCCGAGATGAGAGCTATCAACACTTGGCCATATATTCTCCAGCAAAACTCATAAAAGCCAGGAATTCACAGAGATTTTTCACAGAACCGATATGCGGCTACAATAAAGGCGCTCTGTATTCTGCTGAAATGATTCCATGAAAGAAGGAAAACATTCTCAGTTGCATATTTTCAGATACTTACATCTTTGTACTCATTGTTAAGATATTCGCCATCCATGATGTTGTCTGAATAGCCGATCCGTTCCCGAATAGCTCGGGCCTGCTCAAGAATAGGTTGAGAAAATTGAACAAACATTTTTAGCCATCAACTATCCCGAAATTCAGAATGGACTATACGTATAACAATCATTAACTGTTATAGCTAAAAGTATAAGCAATACCTTCTCCTCAGCTGCTTTCTTGGTCTCTGCATCCATCCATGTCAGGTCATCAAGGTTACTAATGAACACTTCCCGAATGCCTTTAATCATCTCTTCCATCTAAGCCAAACCACACAAACACAAACAAAGAGTGAAAACCTCATCATATCAGTCAGAACAAATTTACTGCAGAAGGAGACTATCATCAAAAGTCATCTGAAGTTATGCCAAGCAATCTTGCAACATACTGGGCAACAAATTCATAAAAATGCACTTCCCTGAATTAAGCCTCATTATTACATAGTCACGTATGAATGCAGAACAACTCCAGGTTACACTCTGTGTAGGAGTCTGCTGACCTTGGCAGACATTTTCAGAAGTGTGATATTAGTTTAACATGACATATTTTTTTCTATCAAGTGTTAAAATTGGCTGTAAATTGGCAATAATCAGATATGCTTCATTAGTGACTAAAAACAAATACAACTACTAAAAGAAAATTATTATTAAAGAGATATTTCTTTGTACATATAAAAGTCTCATCTTGTATTAAAATTCTCTACAGTAGATGTCTTCACTCCTTGACTGCATGGTTACAAATACATTATTGATCATGCTACTGCTCTACATATTTTAAAAATCTACATTCGCTTATAGATGCATTCAGCATTTTAGGGTTTCATTTCTGGTTACTCGAATGATCCTGAGCTTTATGAATTTAAATTATAGAAGAGATATTGCAGCATAACGGCATCCATGCGATAGGCAGGCCAGTTATATTATTTTTATTTAACACATGAACGAGTGCAAGTGAAAAGATGCTTCAGAGCAATAGTAGCTTCAGATAATGAGATTTTCTTATGCAAATTCAAAAATCATCAGTCATCACATCAAAAGCTCACTTTTCAGTGAAACCTGTGGTGCATGTTTCTATAATGTATTTGCCCTGAGCTATATGTTTTCACGATCTGACTGACGGCACCAGTGCAAACCATGCCTGTACTTTGGCCATCAGACTTAAAAAGGCAAAGGTTTTTTGGCCACAAGCACAACAAATACACAACTGGGACAATTCAAATGAAAGTGAAATGAATCGCCACCAAATAACAAATACAAAGAGAACAGAAACAGGAAATTAAAAAAAAAATAACTTCAGAGACATCAAAGGTCACCCTTCAAGAGTCCTCTAACCACAGATTTATTTTGAGGCCACAGTAGGCAGACAAAAGGCACACCAGCTTCTCATCACATTAGCAGAGCCCTAGCTAACATAATGCGTGACGACTTGGAGAGCACACTGTGGTTGCTGACAAACCAGCAGCGATTATACTTAAGAGGCTTTTCTAAAAACCTTTTAACATACTTGTGATAGTGTTGTGTGCATGGATACGCTGTGTTCCAGTTGTTGTTTTTTTTCTTTTAGTCAAAGTTTTAGTATGATTATGCTTCTTTGTCACACAGTGCTGCAAATTAGGTGCATTATCTACCCAAAGCTAGCAAAGTGCTCAAAAATAGATATTTTTCATTCACCATGATTTAGTCCACATGGACTGAGTTTGGAAAAGTAGACAGTTGGACCCAAAGTTACCTTATCAGATTAAAAAGAGGGATGCTTAGAAATGTAACGTTTTAGCAACAATCTAATGAAAAATATTTTAATTCAACTTATCAGAGTTACATATTTACCATCTACATTAACTATTTTGAATTACTTTATATACCATATATACTTACTGGTCAATTTATTAGGTACACCTTTCAAGTACCAGTTTGGACTCTCTTTTGTTTTCAGAACTGTCCTAAATCATTGTTGCACAGATTCAACAAAGTGCTGGAAACATTCCTCTTATTTGATTTGTGAGTGTTTGTGTTGTTTTGTCATGGTCCTGGGCCATGTTGGTCCAGTATTCTTAGTTTTCGTGTGTTTTGTATTTTGTTCTTTATTTATGCCGTGGTTCCTAGGTTCTGTTAAGATGTTGCTTATTTGATTACCCTCTGTGTATCTGTGAGCCCTTGTTTCCCCTCCTTGTGTTTTATTCCATCTTTTCCCCAGCCCGTTATGTCTGTGCTCTCCCCGGGCTCTCTCTCCTCCTGTCTGAACCTCTGTGTACTTCCTGTTTTACTTTGACAGTCTCCCGTCAGTGTTGCATTTACTCCTGCCGTGTCTTGTTATGATTATCAGTTTCACCTGTGTTCCCCGTGTGCTCCCACTTCCCTCATTAACCCTCTGTGTATTTGTGTCTCCCTCCGTTCTGTGTCACGTTCTCCCTCATTCATGGCTGTGTGTTTCTCCGTGCAATATGTTATAGTTTCCAGTTTAGTTTGTATGGTTTTTCTGTCCAGCAATAAAGCTGTGTTTTGAGTTCAATCCTGCCTCCGTGAGCTTGGGTTTGGGTCCTCATCCTGCCTGCACACAGCCGCAACCATGACATGTTTAGCCGAAATATATTTCTGAATGCATATTATATATAAGACTTGCTAATTACATCTGAAAGGTTGGTTAAATTAAATTATTCATTGCAATAATAACTTTTGTTAGGGTTTTTCCTTTTATTTATTTATTTATTTTTTTTGAGAAGTCATATATACACTCACTGGCCGCTTTATTAGGTATATTTTTCTAGTACCATGCCTTAATTTTTAGATTAATCAAGATGCTGGAAAAACTCCTGAGAGATTTTGGGCTATATTGACATGATAGCATCAGCTGCTGCAGATTTGTTTCTGCATATATCCCGTTCAACCCTGTCCCAAGGGTGGTCTATTATTGTATTGACATCTGGTGATGTTATGTTCAATAAACCAGCTTTATCATACAGTGTGTTATTCTGTTGGAACACAAAAAACATCAGAAGATAGATAGACTATACACATAGACTATGGTATTTAAATGACACTTAATTTAAAACCCCAAAGTCTATCATTAAATTTCCCCCACACCATTACACCACTAGCAGCTTGTGCTATTGATTCATGGCAAGGTGGAACCATGCTTTCAAACTGAGATTTATTAGACCAGGTACCATGTTTCCAATCATTTATTGTCTAGTTTTGATGAGCTGATGTAAGTTACAGCCTCAGTTTCCTGTTGTTAGTTTACAGGAGTGGCAGCGATTGTGGTCTTCTACTGCTGTAGCCCATCTGCTTCAAGATTTGAGGTGTTGTGACCTCTGAGATGCTCTTCTGCATACCTTGGTTTATAAAGTGGCAGATGAGTATATATTGTATCGATGGTATACTAATAGCAGCAGTATAAAACAACAATTTACCTAAAGTACGCACTGAAAGGAAAGAAGAACATATCAAAAAGATACTGTATCTGTGTCACTTAAAGAAAGTGTGGCAGCTGCAGGTCAGTTAGTCACAATGAAATGTGTGTATTGTGTGCATCAGAGGATGTACTGCCATACACAGATACTGTAAAATTCTTGATGATATGACAGAAATGTACAATAATGTATTTCTATTTGTGAAAGTTGTACATGGTCGCAAATAAAAATTGATTCACATGCACAATGTCAGATGCCACAGCTCACACATACACATGCATAGGCAGTTTGAATTTACAGTGTGGGTGGTGTGATCATGCTAACAAGGACACCTTGTTCAGCTGCTTTGAGTGGAGGCAAGCAAAAACTACAGTATTCTGATAGACAAGACACAAATGTGACAAAAACACAAGTGGGTGTCAAAATACTCTCCATCAGATGTGCCTGAAACACATGTTTTTTGTTGTATGTATGACTAACTGAATACATAAACGTCCACACTCCTCTTGTAATGCCCTGCAGAGGCATTTTTAGATTATCAGTTTCAGCTTTCAATAAACAAGGTGCGGAATTCCATTACAGAGATTGTATCTTGTCTAATGAAGGATATTTCCAAGAGCTCTTTATCTTTGATTGAGTCTAATGTGTTTTAACAATACAAAGCCTAATGCACCTTCTACTGACCAGTTCTTTACTCTTTTCAGAGAATGCCTCCTGCACATAAAGTCGTCCCACAGCATTTTCCAGGTTGTTGTTGACGTACAGAGCACACTGTCGCCACACTGCTGCCTCTGACGTCGTACCAGACAGAGCCTGCAGGGAAAGTAACAAGGCACAGATCAATTAAAGATGAAGGATAAACTGGTCAGCATATTGTTTAAAGAGGCTCATGGCAATAGGAAATGGGGCAGTGGGGAAATGATTAGATTAGAAAAAGGATTACCAAGATTTTTAAGGCATGGAGGAAGAATATGAATGAAGCAACGTGTTGAAATCGACTGCTTATTAGAGCCTGACTGATACTGCAGTTTTAGCATCAATTAAATAGGTGTGTGGGTGGCGGTAGGGTTTGATTCCCATCCCCCACTTTATTTTAAAGAATTTTTCAAAATGAAAACTCTTAACACCCCCCCCCCCAAAAAAAAAAAAAATCATTGAAAATATAAAATCTTCTAATTTCTAAAAATGTGCCTATTTTGCATGTTGCATAGACAAATCTCAAACATGTTTTAACCTTAGATGGTTTTCCAGTAACCTTGTCAGTGTTAGAAGATAAACTGTATCAGCTTAAGGTAACTGATATTGCTTTATGAAAGTAGCAAAAAAGTGCAGTAAATAACCATTTGGAAGCAGCCTTATGTGCTAATGTAACTGTGGTTTAGATCGTTTCTGTTTAGCACTAATTGCCAAGTGTTAACATGCTCACATATTCCAGCAAGGTGGTGACAGTGGTAAACAAACCTGCAAATGATCAGCATGTTGGCATCTTAAACATGATCCCATGCTAACTTTAGCATTTAATTCAAAGCATAAGTATTGTCATTTAGCCCCATACCAGCAGGAACATTACTGCAAACATTTTTAACATCTTTGCACCCTGTGTTGTTTGCATTTCTTTTAATAACTTAGGTAAGCAGCAGTGTCTGCAAACAGGACCTTCCATGGACTATAACAGCATCAAGGTCCTGTACGTGTACCTTGCGGAAGGCTTTCCTGGTGTCTCTGTAAGCTCTGCTAAGACCCACCACCATGTTCATAGCAAAACGCCACACCATGTAGTTCTGCAGATCCCTGTGAGTAGACAGAAACATGTTGAGAAAAAAGCAATCATACTCACACAAAGCTATCAATACTGTGCACTCCCTCCCCCACAAGCTTAGAAACAAAAACAGGCTTTTATACTCCATCACAGATACAGACTTAAATGAACACACCTACCTCTTGGTGTATTTGGCCAAGATCAGGTTGAGCCTTCTGTAATAGTTGGGCGAGTAGTTTATGACCTTTTCTGTGTCAGGGACGCTGATGTTGACTGTATTCATTATTTTAGCTGTGAAGTAACTCCAGTCAAATAGCTTCAAAATGAGTTTTTTGTTTTTTTTTTAAATCCCCCCAGAGATAAAGAGGAGAAGAAGATAAAAATGAGAAAGAAGTATCTATGTGAAATGAAAACAGCAAACTGTGGTACATAAAGAATTTTTTTTTTACCTGTGATTCAACCTCAAGGGTGAAGTTGGCGTTCAGGTCCCCCAGTTCCATCTTGTTGTAAAGCAACACCGGGTTGTTACGATCCTCTGGGGTATCAGTAGCCTTGGAAAGAGCAAGACAGAGGGGCTAAAAATCAAGAATGCTGTCACAACCCTCCTGTTTCCCGACACATGCGTACAGTTGCAGTGCAGGTCCAGCAGCATCAAACGTATTTGGCGTCCCAGGAGGCTTTGGCTCTGTAAATGTCAGAGTGCGAATGGTGTGACTGCCTTGTAAAAGCCAGCAGCTGAGTGGAGGAGAAGTGAAGCATGGCAGAGAGCAGAGCAGAACAGACTAGGATGACAAACACAGAGTGTGGAAAACTGTTGATGAAAAGTCACGGTGTTGGGATCAGGCTGGTTAACAGCTTGTTTTAGACATCAGCTGCTACAGACTGGAACCACAGACACACACACAGAGGAGGGAGGTTTGGTCTACAAATGGATGACAGGGGGGTCATCCTGCTAACAGAAACCTTTTGTGTTAAGTTAGATGAAAAAAAACAGAACTAGAATACAGAAGGAAGAAGGAACCTTTGAACCATCATCTTTCCAGTCTGTCAAGAAGTACCAGCTTAGACAGAAAGATAAAGCTACTGAACCTGCTCTTTGCCCTGCTAAAGTTTTTGCCTGCATTTTAACTTACATCAGTTGTAGGTTGCCTCTTGTGGGATTATAATATTATTTTATGCCATGTTATACCCCTAATTAAAGATTGTGAATTATTATGTCGTTTTAGTTTGCATTATTCTCCTGAATTAGAAGAAGGTGATAACTATTGCATTTGTTAAACTGATTTGCATTACATTAGACTGCGGATTTATTGTGAATGAATGATATTGTTTTATGATGCATTATACTGCTGAGTTATAAGAAATACTGTTCGCAGAAAGTCATCGCCTTATTTGTCTGATTAGAAGAGAACAGAACATACGGGCGATCGTGGCTCAAGAGTTGGGAGTTCGCCTTGTAATCGGAAGGTTGCCGGTTCGAGCCCCGGCTTGGACAGTCTCGGTCGTTGTGTCCTTGGGCAAGACACTTCACCCGTTGCCTACTGGTGGTGGTCAGAGGGCCCGGTGGCGCCAGTGTCTGGCAGCCTCGCCTCTGTCAGTGCGCCCCAGGGTGGCTGTGGCTACAATGTAGCTTGCCATCACCAGTGTGTGACTGTGTGCGTGAATGGGTGAATGACTGGATATGTAAAGCGCTTTGGGGTCCTTAGGGACTAGTAAAAGCGCTATATAAATACAGGCCATTTACCATTTACTGGAGTTTTCTGCCCCATCTCAGCAGGAGCAGATAAACAGGGAGCCAAGGTCGTAGCTTAGGCGCCGTGTGAGAGAAAGAATGTGAATGTTTAGGCTTTTATGATTAGGTGGGGGCCACTAGAGGCTATAAGAGTTTGATCAATGCTCCACCATTTTGAGATCTGATGCTGTCTGCGTACGGTGTCCATCTCCCACGCGTGTGATCATTAAAATCATCGTTTGACTCAACCCGGCCGGACCAGTGTTGTTATTGTGGTTTTTCCTCTTGTATCCATCCCCAATATTTGAATCCGTAACACTCTATATACTGAAATGATCACAGTAATTATGTCACCACAGCCTGCAGCTCTACATTTAACTGCAGGTCAGTTAGCTCTATCAGGTATGATTCAGAAAATCTTGGATTTCACAAGGAGGCAACTCACTGAATCTCCTCAAAAATGTGCAAGTGTTTTTCATTATGTTGACTTGCTTATTAAGGTATCTGCTATTTTACTGCTTTATTACTGACAGTTTACTCCAAGTTACCATTCCAGGTTATGGTTAACTTTCTTCTGTAATATTTTAGTTGACTGTACTATTCAGTCTCAATGGCTGTCACCTCATTCACTAGCCTCAAAATTGAGATTAGTTTAGCTTAATACCAGCCTGCTTTGCATCACTAACAGTAGTTTTAAATCAATGACATCCCAATGTCTCTCTTTCCATTACCTGAAAAATATTCTCTTTCAACTAACAAGAGGAAAATGTCACTCCCTTATCTGCACATAGGTCAAGGAGAACGGGAATGAAGAAGCTCAGAAAAAAAGGTGTATTTCATATTTTATAAAATGATATGTGTTTAACTACATGTCTTCTGTTGCTTATCATTGGAAAAGGGTAAGATGTGAGAAAGAGGTTTATTTTTGATTGTGGTGTAGTTCAGTTTGCCACATAATCTTGCTAGCTGTTTCATTATGGACGGCTCTCAACCACCAGGAAGTCTAGACTAGCAACAGTGCCCAGTGACAACTAGCCAGTTTTAGTTTGACGATTTCTATTTTATATCTACCACACTTCTCGCAGTGGACCGGGAATTATTTTACACTCAGTTATTGATCATAATCAGACTTGGAACTGGATGAATACTTGGAACTGAGCAGGCTTGAACTACAGTATGCATTACTGAAAACAAGATCTCTTTCCCATGATTTCTCAAAGCCATAATAAGCATATTTTGAAAAGTACAGGAGGTTCTTAAGTATTTGAATTCATATTTCTACTTGTAAAACTGCAAAGTACAAATCCATACTTACATTAGCAATGTCTCTCTCCAAGTCTATAACTCGTGTCACCTCCTCTCTAATGCGAGTTTCATTGATCGCTAATCCTCGGTCCTTGCGCATCAGCTTAGCCAGGTCAATCATGAATTGCTCATAGGCCCGACATGCCTGTAAAATAAACACAACTTGTAACTCACTGATTTCAGTAACCACTGACTAAATCAAGATTTGACTGATACAAAGTTTGTCTATAGCAAACATGCATATCAATTAAGGCAAAATAGGAAGCTGTAAAGTGAAACCAGAGCAACGGATGTCTGTTCCACTCACACATCTGGTTTGGATTGAGATAGAGTTATCAGCATTGTGTGTGTTTTTGTTCATCACATACAAACTCACTACATTTCTAAGAGTAGGAATAAAATTTATTTGTGCACTGATGTGAACGGATGTTTGGGCTGATAGCCTCATCATTTGTGGTTTTTTTGGAACAAATTCGGAGGGACATGAAATCCAGGGGCTCAAATGAATAGTTGGAACTGCTTTCACTATTCATTGATTAAAACGCTTTAACTGCACTGCACTGGCGTGTGGATTTGTATACATGTAAACATGCAAACTGACCTCTGCATAAGGACCAGTGCATGCATAGTAATCTCTGGACACCAGGCCAAGGCTTGTTTGCTGGTCAAACTGGCAAGGAGAAGAAGACATTTATTTTCAGTATCAAAGCCAAATAAAGGCTTAGTCATTACCTTCAGTGAACAGAGGGACATGAGGGCTTTTTGAATATGAACAGAGGGAGGTGAGTTCTTTTCCTTGCCACAGGCGTACACCTACATGAATGATATGCGAGGTTGAATCCCTGTCATCAGTGCCGACGAAAAAGTTAACCAAGAGCAGAGTTCCATATTTCTCATTCAACTTGGCAATAACGTCCTCCAACCTCCATGTTCTCCCTGAAGAAATAAGAAAAAAGAAGTGAAAAAGAAGTGAAAAGAAAGAAATGGCATCAATAACATCATGCCCAATGACACTTGAAAAAGAACCAAAGTTCTCTACCATAATTGGTCTCCCAGTTGTCAACAGCTATAGGCCACTCAGACACGTCAGGCAGCATGTCAAGCAGAGGACTCCCCCCTCTCAGCTCAATTAAACCTAGTTAGAAGCGAAAATCAAAGAAAATAGGTTTTGCGGTGTAGATACATTTATTTTCTACCCATAAAATTGTGAAAATCAATTAAAAAGAAATTCAACCACTGTATTGCGTTTTATCAAGTACATACTAAACCTGTGGCAATTGAGAGGCCTTAGAGGAGTTTATTGATGTGGCTTCCAAAGCAAATCACTTCTGAAGAAAGCATTCATTTGAATCATGTAAAGCTGAAATACTGCAGTTCTTTTTTTTTTAAATTGATGATTCATGTATATTTTCATGACAGTTTTGTTGATAGACAATACAAAAACTGAATAAGAAACATTTAACCTTCAACAGCAATTTATAAAATGGCTGTTCACATTAGGATAATAGAAGATCTAAAAAGGCATAGCGTGTTAATGTCTTTTGCCTGCTGACTCACTCTCATTGGTACAGGACTTGTAAAGGGTCTTAGCCTTGGTGAGAGCAGCAGCTTCCCCCTCCACTGTTTTTTCAAGGACACCTTCAAATAAAGAAACAGAGCAAGCATGAAGCAAACAATCACAGACAAAGATGAAGAAGCAAAGTTGCTCACTGCACAATAAGGAAAGAGGGAGTAGTTGGGTGCATATAACCTCAGGTACAACATAGAGGTTTTCTTTTTCTTATCTCTGGGGATTCAAAAATTCAAGAATTCACCTGTCATGCGTATGCATTTTATTTATTTTAATTAAGGGATGCTTTCGGTCCTTTTGTCAGAAAATGGCGGAAAATGGCGACACTAAGTAAATTATGATATAAAGCCTTTGCAGTAGATAGTAACCAGTGACAAAACAGAAGAAATGTAATTATTCTAAGAAGAAAAACATGTCACAGCTGTTCTTTTCAATTTAATTGTTTTATTTCTCTCTAAATAAAAACAACCTGAATAATTATTATGAAAAAAAATTCAGAAAGTGCATTTTTTTGAGTCATAAACAAGTACAGAATAAATGGTCTTCTGAAGATAGTTTAGGTTTGCAGAAAATAGACAAAAACAAAGCTTTGACCATTTTTATTTTAAATGTTATATAAAAACACAAGCAACATAGTGTGTATTGGAATTTTCCTTTGATATACCAGGTGCCCCAAGAGCAAAGCTAACACATCAATACACTGTCAAAATGTGAATAAGGTGAACAACCAGTTTTACTTTGAATGAATAAATAAATCAATGAGTTAACAGATAAATAAATAGTGTTCTAGCTCCCATCTTTTAAATGGGCATGATAAATGTTATCATGCAAAATCATGTAAAAATAAATGCATATTTTATTCTGTGCTTGTCACAAATACCTTTTGGCATGGGAGTGACAGCACAGAGCAGACGAAAAGAGGTGGAAGGAAATCAAGGTGCAACAAAGCTGAAGGTGTGGCAGTAAAGGGCCATTTGGAAACAAGAGTGAGCACCAGCGCTTGTTTTATTACCTGCGTTCATTGCCTCTTCAACACCTGTTGTGGGCATATGGACGCCAGTTAGCTCAGCCTCAGGCTAGATAGCATTTCTAGGTAGACAGCTAATCAAAATGAGTGATAAGTGTTGGGGTGTAAACTTGCTAAACTGAGGGGGAGGGCATGGGGACCAATACTCTTTTCCTGTGCCGCCTCAAGGCACCAAGTTGCATATTGTAGCTTTAAAGTGTAACTATTCCTACAGGAACTGCTGTCACTTTTCAGCAGCAGCACACGAGCAGGAGCAACACGAGGATGTGCCTAAATACATTTTCTCATCATCAAGGTTCAAACACCCACACAGTCAGTAATTTTTGTGTTTGCTGCAAACCGCTGTGGTTAAAGCAAGTTTATTGTTATGTGATGCCGGTACAGAGTCTGTGTCCTCGGTGCTTCAAAATAACAAAACCTTACACCTACACAGGAGGTATCTGAAACTTCAGCTCAGCTGCTGGTTTGTCATTCAGCACCAACAATATGAAGAACTTAACTCTCCCTGCACTACGCTGATAAATTCATGAGCATGACTATCACGTCATAATGTTTCACTGCAGTTCAACTAGTATGCTGGGATTTCTAGGGGTGGTTCAGGGAACCTTGAAGAAAAAATTAGAGAGATGGTGAGCGCATTGAGTGCATTGAAGTGATAGGAAACATTGTAACAATGTAGGGACACAACATGATGTAGACTAAAGATATTCTGGTATCACAAAAAAAAGCAAACATAATTACATTTATTTTTCTCCATCGAAAAAAGTCTCAACTTTTCCCCAGCTTTTAGATTTTTTGTTTCTGTTCATCAACTGTATAGTTGCTTTATATGGCCTGTATCATGAATAATACATGATGTAAATGTCTTTCAAGTCTAAGTGCCTTGTGATATGCTTTGTCTACATACGGAATGTATGTAAATAGCTGTACTTATGATTGCTGTTGCTATTGTTTATGACAACTCAAGAGAAAGAAGCAGCCTTTATGTATTTCACATTTTGAAAATGTATCTCATCAGGACTATATGTGCATTTACATTTTCAGCACAAGATAGTGCATTTAATGTGCTAGTGCACTGACCTTTCAAAGACTGTAACCCAGGTTCATATCTGTGTCTACAACTAACACCTTTCCCAGCTACAAGTAGTAGTTGTTTGTTGTGAATACCAGTACAAATGCACGTGTTTACAACTACAGTGCTGTGCAAAAGTCTTGTGTCACCCATTTCTTTATATTTTGCTTCTGAGGACCCAGACTTTCTTGTAATTATTTTAAATGGTTTTAAGCTACACTTTTCAAAGCTTTTTAAAAGTTTTTCCTTGGACATGGGCTTCTTTTTCTCTTATTTTCAGTCCAGTCCTTTAACCTAACCATTGTTTGTTAGTTTTTTAGCCCTTAACACTGTGTATGATTCATGTATAAAAAAAAACAAACACCTAACTCAAGGGATGAACCAGTGTTGTGTCTACACAGAACAGAGAGCTTAGCAAAGAACCCATTTTAAATGGTGTCTTTAGGTATTTTGTTACTAGCCTGTCGTACAAACACATCATTTGTTCCTAACTCTATAGTTAAATCCTATGTAAAATGCCAAGGTTAACACTGTTTCTTAGGCATAAAATAACATGTTTGCACCAACAAGGTGATTCCCAAGGAGCTAGGTGAAAACCTGGCATATCCCAGCGCAGTCTGCAGCGTGTCCTTAAAACAATAGAGGAAACTGGACAAGTGAAGTACAAAACATCTATAGTAGTATCTACAGAGTAGATTTAGCTCTTTCAATGCTGTGCACACAGATAACTAACAAAAACTTTTGGCCAAGGTACAGCCAAAGAGAAACTGCTACAGACCGAACTACAGAGATAATGCCCGTTCATGAACTCGTGGCTTCTCAGAACTGGCCTGCTGTCTAGAGAACCAGTCATCTAAACAACAAGAGTGAACGATTGAAGTCATTCATTTAGATTATTGTAGCATGTTTAAACATTTAGTCCCTCAGGGATGGCTTTTTGAAGATTTAATGGAAGAATTCATTGGTATAGCTAGCTTAGTATTTCAGACTGTGTGTCTCCTCTGCATTCATAAACCTCCGCTTGTTGATAGCCACAAAGACAAGCTGTGCAAACACTGTCTGGTTAGTACAATCTTCCTTTCTTGAGTCTAAAAGAAAGGATTTAAGGTCATTTTCCCCATGGCTTTTAGTGTAGCAGACTAAATATTCGGCAAATACAAGCATGTATAACCTGCATGGTAAATGGTAAACAGACTGGCTCTTATAGAGCACCTTTCAACTCTACCTGTACTCAACGCGCTTTATTCACCCATTCACTTTTTTGTGAATGCTTTCTATCTAACATTCACACACAGTCTCAAGAGCTTGGAAAGAAACATTCACACACATTCATGCTACAACGGATGCAATAGAGAGCAAACTGGGGTTAGTGTCTTGCTCGAGGATATTTGGCACACAGACTGGGAGTAGCCAAGGATCGAGCCACCAACCTTCCAATTAGTAGATGACATAATTTACTTCCCATGCTGCACTCACCCTAATGTCTGAAAATTAGCTTTTTCTTTCTGACAACACAAAACTCATAAAAAATAAAAAATGAAATAATATATAAATCATGTGCTGTGTTGCTGCAGAGATTTTGACTAAGATCTAAGAAGGATATACAAAATATCCCTGACAAAAAATGCTACCAACATTTCAAAAGCTTAAATTATATTTTCTTTGTTTTATTCTTCCTGGTTGTTTTGACATTATCCAAGGAGAGCAATTTCTGTGTTATCAAAAGTAAACTCTTCAGTGGGTGGTTAAGTAGGTAGGATGTGTTAGAAAGATAACCTTTGATAACCTTTTGACTTTGACAAGCCGTCACATAGCTCAACATGACCTGAATGCTTCCTGACAATTATAAAGTTATCTTATAAATATTGCATCAACAGATATACACCATCATGCTGCACAGCTCAGTGACACACCAGGATCAATACAGGAAAGAGGATGGAGTTTAAATTACACGGGCACTTGACAGCCAACTTTCCCCTGAGTCCAAAAGGACAACAATCCTGTCACTATGAGTTGGGTTGATATGAAAAGATAACAATAAGAACAAATTAGATTTTTTTTAACTGCTCAAAAAAAAGGATTTTACAGCTCTCTACAGTTTAAAGATCTGGGTTTCCATAAATTACACAATTCATTTTTTTTAGGAAAGATTATCAACTTTAATATTCAATTTATCAAGATCTGATATGAAATATCATTTTTTCCCTTTATAAGCAGTAGGTCTGCAAAATACATATTTGAGCAGTTTCACTCTTTGTTTCTGCAAATTCAGTTTGGATTAAATTTGTTTTCTACAGATTCTGGTGACCCATTATTACCTCAGTGCATCAAATACTGTCACATGTTGCTGGCATCTCTTCCTTACACACAAAGTGTTTTGGCAGCAGCTGTGGCAGAGAAAGATAACAGTTCTGTTTCAAAGGTTGGTATTCTTATGACTCAGGGATGGCCGGAGGTTTTTCTTTTCTTATTATTGTTATTATTTCATTTTCAGCGTCTGACTTCCATTGGGCTTTTGACTTACACTGTCACTCACGTGTTATCTTTAGACAATGAATACAGCTGGTCATGGTTCACAACAGCAATCCTGCATGTAGGAAAATGACACTTCACCACTAGGTTTAAATGTGGTGCAAAAGAGTGCTTTTGAAGCTTTCATAACGGGTGAGTAAGGGGGTGAGAGATGTGCAAAGCCAGCCACTCATTACATACATTAGTATGTGATGAGAAAAGGTTGGATTCAGAAATCCTTGGACACAGCTTTTTTTGTTTGTTTGCCATATGGGTTACTGTGGTTTGTACCAGTGACCATCAAATTATAATTGGTTCATTCTAGTGTTAAAGAAGAGTCATAAAAAGATTTCCACAATACATGAAATGATTCCAAGAGATACATTTTCAAATGGTATCTCTATCTCCTGCTGCACAAAACATCCTTTACCCCTTGGAATAAAAAGGAAAACAATCAC